GGACTCGGCTCGGACTAAAACTAAGCTTGGGCTTGACTCAAACTCAACTTGGATTATCCTTTGGGACTCAATACATGACTTGGACATGAAGGTTCAGTGACTCAACTACAAGACTGTTTGTAGCTGCAGGGCTTCTCTCATAACAGTGAAACAATCAGTGAGCCTAAATGCCGACCTGCTTTTTTGAACCAAGCCCCAGTGTTGCTGTCATGTTCTTTTCCTATTACTGTCTGATGTTGGTCAAGCACCTAAAGCCATAGCCATAGCGTCTGCTGCTTCACAAGGCCACCAGGAAGGTGACAGAGAGGATGAGAAATATGTAGCCACCAGGTCACAACTAAGAGATTTGAAGTAAGAAAAATACATTTTCTGTAATTTCACTTCTTTTTTCTGTCAACAAATTAAACAACAAAACAAAGAGTAAATGTTAAGTGATGGGCAGCACGGTGGCCCAATGGTTAGCACCGTTGCCTCACAGTGAGAAGGTTCTGAGTTTGGGCCCCACCCAGGACCTTTCTGCATGTTCTCCCTGTGCTTGCATGGGTTCTCGCCGGGTACTCCGGCTTCCTCCCACAATCCAAAGACATGCAGCTTAGGTTGATTGGTGTCTCTAAATTGCCCCTAAGAGTGCATGTGCGCATGTGCGCGTGTGTGGTTGTTTGTCTATGTGTTAGTCCTGCAATGGATTGGTTGACGATCTATCCAGGGTGTACCCTGCCTTCACCCGACTGCTGGCCGGGATTGGCTCCCCCCCCCCCGTGACCCTGTTCAGGGACTAAGCAGTAGAAAATGAATGTTAAGCGATGACCACAGTTATTACAATTCATCCTGTGGGGAACATGTAATTCTATACAGCTTTCATGGTATCCAACAGTTTCATCCAGCAGCTACTGAGATTTTACAGTCAGTGGTGGACTGAGCAGCTGCCGAAGCAACACAGCCATCTTTTCATCACTAGTGAACTGTGACAAGTGGCAGATGTGTTGACATTCACTTTGTTGCTGTGCTACAGAATGCAGTGAGAAGGCTGGGTTTGATGACTCACTAACTGAAAAGCCAGTGGAGCAAAAATAAATGTGCTGCTTTGCTATTAGATCATTAAATTGCTCCAGTGGTTCTTTGGCGCTTAATACAAAAAATAAATAAACAGATTGGTGGGAGGCCTGACATTACATTCACATCTCCTGGATCTAATTGCCACTCAGGACTCTCATACATGGTTAATGTAGCCTCCCATAAGATTCTCTTAAATGCATGTTTCGTTTGGTGTAATGAATTTGTTGGAATTTGAGGAGAGAAAAATGAAACACACACACACACACACAGTTTCATTACCCACATAAACTATGTCACTCGAGGGTTCCAATCCAAAATGTGTTTCTTCATTAGTTAGCAACACTTCCATTCAACAGAAGAGGTGAGGATGCTGAAGGCTGCGGACTCACCGAGGGAAATCGATGTGCTGCAATAAAAAACATAAATTATGAGTATGAATGAAATATTTTATGTTGTGAAGTAAAATTAGAGTTCAGATTAATAAAATATCCCTAAGGAGAGTGTTTCATCCTCAGTCTTGGCATCACACAAGCCACCAGGAAATTCTTTTATGGCATTTTGCAAACCTTCACTGGAGAGCCTGGCTGTCACATTCAAAGCAAATATAGCTTGAAGAAAGAACACTAATCTTTTAAGGAGAAAAAAAGATATATAGAGCTAACTGAAGGAACTCACCACCTGACTCGATATAGAACAAACATGCAAAAAGAGAAAAAAGCCATTGTTTCTCATATTTTGCACAGTAACTGCAGTGTGTTGTGTGGAAGAAACTTGCATTTGTGCAAACTTCTAATTAACCCCCCGGGTCTTTGTGCTCTGCTGCATGTAGATGATAAAAAATTGGCAGCCTGTTTGCTGGATGTGGAGGGTCAAAAAAGCCAGAGCCAATCAAACTGCCTCTGAGACATTACTCTTAGCAGTAATTTTCATCACCTGAGTATAACTGAGGATGGGATAACTGGGTGTTGGAAACAGCCGACCAAAACATGAGAAAAATGTTGGTTATTTAAAGTCTCATACTAAGACAAGACAAGATGGAAAAGCCTCATCAGACTTTGGAGCATTGAGATTAATAGATAAAATACTGTTAAAAATACTATGAAATCACATTATGGAAACTGTAGGATGGGATATTATAGATAAAAAGTTATAATTTTTGAAATCGATGCTGCACAATTTGACCCAGACTGCCTATTGAAAGTTATTCTTAAGATATCTACTTCACTGATCTAATATCATAAAGTTTGGAGATCACAAGAGACAGAATAGAAGAAATATACTAAGATAATTTAGCAGCATTTATCTTATCTTAAAAATATGATGGCTGACCATTTACACAGAAAAAAATTAACAGTGATCAACAAGGCTGAGCAAGTAAAATTCCCCTTTTGCCCCACTTCGGGGTGGCCTTTCCTTCCATCCTTCAAGCTTGGGTCCTATACCAGAGGCCTGGGAGCTTGAGGGCAGCTACAAGTACCTTGGGCAAATGGGAACCATGAAGAGGCCACAAAAAAGCAGCAACTACCAAGTACCTGCAGAGAGTAAGGCAAGTCCCAAGAAGTCAGCTGAATGGAAAAAGCCAAGTCTGGGCAATTAACACCTAGCCCTGCCGGTCATCAGGTACCCCACTGGTCAAAGGAGGAGATAGAGGCCACTGACATCAAGACAAGGAAGCTCCTGACAAGGCACGGATGGTTTCGCCCCAAGTCCAGCATCCTGAGACTGTACACTAAGAAGAAGGACGGAGGCCGAGGATTAGTGAGCGTCAGAGCCACTATCCAGGATGAAACAACAAAGATCCACGAATACATCAGGAAGATGGCCCCGAGTGATGACGTGCTTAGTGAGTACCTCAGGCAGCAGAAACCAAAGGCAGAAGGGAAGGAAGAGCAGGAACCCTCATGGAAGGACAAACCTCTGCATGGTATGTACCACCATCAAATAGTAGAAGTGGCTGATATCGAAAAATCCTACCAGTGGCTGGACAAAGCTGGACTGAAAGACAGGACAGAGGCACTAATTCTAGCAGCACAGGAACAGGCTCTAAGTACAAGATCAATAGAGGCCATTGTCTACCATTCCAGACAGGAACCCAGGTGCAGCAAGGGTTAGGGTTAGGGCGAGTGGGGAATTTTTTTTTATTTATATACATGCACACAGAACAGAATCGATGATTCCTTTGTAGAACTATATCAGCAGCTCCTGGGGCAGGTCAAAATTCCTGAGCTGGTGCAGGGAGTACATCCTCTGCTGTGCCTTCTTGGTGATGGTCCTGATATTGGACGTCCACTTCAGGTCCTGATAGCGGAGCCCAGGAACTTGTAGGACTTTACTGCTGGTACAGCACTGCCAAGTATGGTGAGTGGGGCTACAGTGGGGGGGCACTTCCTGAAGTCCACTGTCATCGCTACTCTTTTGAGTGTGTTCAGCTCCAGGTTGTTGCGGCTACACCACAGGACCAGCTGCTCAACCTCCCGTCTCTAGGCTGACTCGGCACCGTCTCAGATGAGACCAATGACCGTTGTATCATCAGCAAACTTTAGGAGCTTGACAGAGGGGTCCTTCGAGGTGCAGTCGTTGGTGTAGAATGAAAACTGCAGAGGGGAGAGCACACATCCCTGGGGGGCACCTGTGCTTATTGTCCGGGTGCAGGATGTGGTTTTCCCCAGCCTCACCTGCTGCTTCCTGTCTGTCAGAAAGCTAGTAATCCACTGACAGGTGGGGGCAGGCACAGTGAGCTGGGTCAGTTTGGAGTGGAGGGTGTCCGGGATGATGGTGTTGAATGCTGAGCTGAATTCCACAAAGAGGGCCAGTGCATAGGTCCCTAGGGAGTCAAGCTGTTGCAGGATGTAATGCAGTGCTACGTTGATTGCATCGTCCACTGACCTGTTTGCCCAGTAGACAAACTGCAGGGGATCTAGCAGGGGGTCTACGATGTCCTTCAGGTGGGCCAACACCAGTCTTTCAAAGGACTTCATGACTACAGATGTTAGGGCGATAGGTCTGTAGTTGAGATTGTGGACACCTTTAAATACCTGGGTGTCCACCTCAACAATAAACTGGACTGGACCAACAACACTGATTACTTTGTCATAAATACAAAATATATGCACAAAAGACTACTGAGTATTTGGAACACTTCAGAACATGCCTAAGAATCATCAAGTTTTTGGATTTCTTGATGGTCAAAGGAATTCATTAATAGTTGTGTGTACATGTAATGGGACATGACAAAAAACAAACTGTTAATAGTTAAATTCAGTGTACTGTTCAGTCCAAAACATATACTTGCTAAAAACAGGGCCTGTTGCAGCCCACTATATAGGCCTGCTTCCTGTTTCTTCTAAAAGTTTATATCTGTTCAGGTGAGTGAAGACTTATGTGTTGCCCCATGACTGACTGGGAGATTATGCTACAGTATGCTGATACAAACTCTTCATTTTAGGTTGACTCAAGTAAGAATGTATAATATTTGTCCTCATTGGTCAGTCTCAAAAATTTAAATTATTAACACCAGACTGTTGGTTAGAAGAAAGAGATTCAATGATCACGATTGCTGTTAGTCTTTTTTCAATGTAAAGGTCCTCCAACTGTAACTACAAGCCCAATTTAACAATCAAACAAACCAAATAAACAAAACAGTTAGCAGTTTTTACTCCTTTGCTCACTTATTTCCTCTTTAGTTTCTGACAGTGGTAATAACGATGTCATGATATCTTTAGGAATGTATTGTAGTGTTGGTGTATTATTGCAGAATATCAAAAAAGGAGCAGTGTGTTTACACATTGTGGCTTAATAACAGCTAACACAGTAGTACAAAGCCCTATTTGAACAAATCTATTCATATATAAATGTTTCGTTTTACACACACACACACTCACATTCAACAGAAATTGTATTAAAATAGCTATTCTTCATCTTGCTTCATTTTCTAAATGCTGCAGGTTGGATTTTGGCACATAAAGGAGAAGCTGGAGCTCCTGGAGGAAGCTTTGCCCTCTTGGCTGCCTCTTCTTCAATCCACTGTGAGGGAGATGGCTAAAAATGCTGGCAGTAGCAGCATGTTGTGTCCATACTGTTGAAGGGGGAGTTCCTCTCCCTCCCACCCCCTTTCTCTCTCTCTCTCGCTCTCTCCCAGCTCAGCATCTCCACTCTCACGATCAGTAAATCCACTGGTCTGATGCTCCATAGAGCCACCATCCAGTCCATCTGAGCCTCTTGTGGGGAGGATTTCAGTCATTGCTCCTGTGAGAGGTGAGTCATTCTTTATCTCTGTCTCCGCACTCATGATGGATTATGGCCACCGTCTTAAGACATCTTTTCATTTTTACATTCATTTCTGCCAAACCTGTCAATTATAGAACAGCTGATGTACATAGACTGAAAGGGACCTCACATGTGTTTCTGTCTGTTTTTAGTGTCATTGTCATACTTTATTATTTTAGTTTTCAGAGCTTTTAATATGATGGAAGCTTCATGTTGGTCTGTGATTCAAAGTAGACTATGCAAAATAAATTACAGGATATTTGTGTTATATGACTGGACACATTGCAGCTGCATGATAAATTACAGTATTTTCATTATTTAGATGTATATAAATCAAGTTTTAAATTTTGCAATTTTATCATAAATTTATAAATCTCCAAATAATCCTAAAGGTGCTCAATCAAACATTGTGGGCAACCACACCTACAGTGTTTGTTTGAAACTCCACATCACAGCCAACACTGTCCACACACTGTCGATGAAAGGATAGATTCAAACTGTCGGAATGGTTTTTGTCTTTAATGGACTGTACAACATGTGCTTTCAAATCAAAAAAACTGCCGGAAATGTTATCTTACTTTGCCGACAGCAGAGTCGAGAAGTGAGGCTTGAATTCTATTTGCTGTGGATTGATATCATAACCCTTTTTTTAGAGTCAGATAGAACTATCCTCTAAGCTCTTCCTATGGAAACACAAACACAGAGGGGACTAGATGCTGCCCAGTCTCATGGTATGCTGCCAGATTTGCATTTGCTTAAAATGAAGGAACTACTGCCCCTGATAAATACAGAATGTCACTCACCTAATTCATGGCCAAGGAAACATGTGTGTTAGCTGTATTTCAGCACAAAGCTTCCTGTTAGCCGGTGGCAATAACAGCATGGTTTATGTCAGCTGAGTGTCACAGTGTGTGGTGCATAAACTGAGACAATGAACACTCAGTTAAAGCTGAGACCACTGATTCATTAGCATTAAGAACACTTAAAGCTAATGGTTAAGGCCGCCCACCAAGAGCTGGGGTCTGTCAGAGGTTTCTTCAGTTAAAGGGAGTTTTTCCTCCCCACTGTCGCCAAGTGCTTGCTCAGAATTAATGGCTGCAACCCCTATTTGTGCAGATGTTTTGCTTTCTCGGTGTAAGTGATGCTGTAATAATGCCTGGGGATATGTCATTCTCTCACAAAGATTAGTCACCGGTGTGGCAACGCAGTAGCAGTGAACATCACTCAGTGTGTCACAGGGAGCTGTCTTTTTACAGGCTGACCCAAATCTGGCTCCTGATAAATATGTCCTGCCAGGGGAATAAAAACTCATCTTCATTCACGAGTTCATTCCACTTGTATTGACTGGCTTACAATGTGACAAGTTCATCCCTTCTCTGTGCTCCTCACTGATATCCGCAGAAGGACGGTTGTATGACAGGTCACTTATTAAAGCTTGTGTAAATAGTCACACAGCAGGTCTAATCAGAACAAAAGTGGAAAACAGTTGCTCAATATTACACAGATGCAGATGCAGATACAGACAGAAATCAGTTCTCAGTATGGCTCGCAGCCTGGGTGGATGATAATGGTGATGCACACTGTGAATTACATTTGACAGCTGCAAAAGATTTTTGTATTCTATTTACACCAAGGTAACTCTCCCACCAGAATCTCTGAATATATTATGCCGTTGAGGACAGTGCTGAAAATCAGCATTTACATTTAAGGTTTTGCATTGATTTGATGATGTATCAGTTATTTTGTTCAGTGAATTAGCCAAAAGCAACCAAACATTACCATCTGGTCATGTAAAAATAGTTTCACAGTTGTTTTCATGAATGGTATATTTAATTTAATTTAATTATCAACCATATGACACACATTTATTGGCTCAATGTTTACTATACTCTTGTGGAGAACTCCAGTTTAGTGTTAATGTTTTTATTTTCATTGTACTGAAGCTGTTTTATTTTGGAGATGTGACTACTACAGAATTTGAATTAATCCAGGAATGTTAGATCATTTGATGCATAATACCTCCATGTGTTTACACAGCACTATGTCCAGGAACCTGTCACAGCATTTCAGAGTTCCACACATGACCAAAACAATGACTGTGATTATGTCCACAATTTATATATACTGTACATGTGGTATATGTATATATGATGAGTGCTGCTTGATGCACTATTTTTACTGTATATCTGTTGTGATTAATATCAAAGTCATAACAAAAACATAGGCTGCTATAAGGATTTTTCAGTGGAATATTTTCAACTCACTTGCGACCTAATTTAAGCCATCTTCCAAGTGAATCTGTTGGTAGCAACCACTAATGTTTGATTAGTGTTAGTGTGCCAAAAAAGAGAGGCTTGATCATGATTTGAACGGTAATAATGCTTTCTGGAGACATCTGGGAGATAAAGAAAACACTACAGTATTTTTGTGATAATGTAGCCATGGCAACTACTGAAGAGGTGCTCATGACTATGGTGTTTGCTATCATCCCTGTCACTGGAGTCGGCCACATAATAGGACTGGCTTCAATGTGGAATCTATCGCTATACATGGACTTATAAAGTATGAAACACTCAGTTAAAAGAACTTTACACTTGTCCTTTCACCTGCAATAGCAACAAAACTGAATTTATCCTAGTTTGTTTATTACTCTCGTTATCTTTCTCTTCCTTGTTTTCTTTTTTAACCCCTTCATTTTTATGTTTGGGGTGTTTGGGGCACATACTGTATTTCATCATTTGACTGTTTCATATTTTCCTCATGTAACATTTCCTTTTCCAATGTCAATAGAATGGGAAGTAAAGCCGAACTTTCTATTGTCTAATTGAAATGCTGGGAAAAAGGGAAATCTTGTCGTAGGGAAAATAGGAAGCAGAACAAAATGTGTACAGTATGAGCAAAATACATTTTGTCTAAATTAATTTATCTGCTGGTGGTGTTAGGGGAAAATCACATCATGTTACCAAAGTTCACCCTCTCATGTATTCAGTAAAATTTCAGAATCTTTTACGATTCTTTTATCTGCTTTGTGGGTTTCAGACGTCCATATTAGTACATTTTTATACCATGATTTACTGAAACAGTGTTACTGAGACGGAGCATGTAGGATATGGAACAATGATTTATTTACACCCTGATCACAGCACTTGGATGATTTATTCACTGAAATTCATATTACTGTGTTAATTGAAAGATAATTTTTATATCATTGGTGCACCGGATCAATGGTAAAACTGAGCTCCAAAAATGTTACTGTGCTTTACATCAAGCAACCAGATTGTCTTGTAAATATACATCACTTATGTCATTTTCCTCTTTCATACTGTAACACAGCAGGCTCACAAGTTGTTGTATTGGTGTAATTACCATTTCCAGGTGATTAGACTTGATTACGTTTGTTGCACTGTGCTGAATTGATTTTTTTCCTAGTCTCTGAATAAATAAGGCTGATAACACAACTCTAACTTCTACTTGAGAAGACTGCTCTTGCTTTTTATTTTAATTTTATTTCCCACATAAATATAACCTTAAATCAAAAAATATGTTCAACATTTTAATACCCATTCTTGTCTTCTGAGCCATTCCATTCACAGTAATGCATTTGTGGGCTCAGACAGCATTCATATAAGCTTTAACATCCAAATAAGCTTTAATTGGTCTCACATTTCAACAGTTAGGAACTACAGGGGGTGGTCTGCATCTACGATGGGAGATTATGATCAGATTCCCAGCAGATAAACTTCAAAATGTCTCTATTGATCTGTGATCAAGGCAGCGTGGGTCTTCTTTTCTGGTTTCCAACATAGGTACAAGATCTCAGTCAGTAACTGACCCCATGAGACTGGCGCTACAGAAGATGGGGGGTGTTTTAATAAAGACAAAATGGGCAGAGTCACAAACACGTGGGCAAATAAGGAGAGACAGATAGACAGTCAAGGAGCAGAGTAGCCAGATTCACAGGGGGAGATGTGATAATGGCTGGAGGTGTGTTACCTGGAACACGCACAATCAAAATAACAATGCAAAAATAAGTTTTATTTCAAGTGAACACTAGAGACTGTGAGTGATGGGGGTGAGTACTAGACTGTAAGGTGGTAAGGTGCTGCTCATAACTGTGCAATGATCATACAGTAACTGAGAGCCAAAATTTATACTCAATCCCCAATCTGTGACATCACATCGTCAAACTGCAACACAAGGCAGATCAGAACTGTAGGAAACAGACATCTACAGGTGGGTCTGACCTGCTTATGAATGACATGTAGAGGTACTCCTTTAATGTGTTTTCTTAAACAGATTAAAGCTCTTCCAGGCTTTTTTCACTCATTATCAAGTCACTCTGAGCTGTGTTCTCGACTTGTCAGCTAATACAAAAATGCCTGGTGATAGATTTTCAAGTAGTTTGAGGTCTCCATTAAAAAATGTACGTTCTTACCTAGTATGATACAACAATTAGGGGGGAAAGCATTCAGAAAAAGATGACATTCAGTTGTCATAGATATTTTCATGCAGAATCTTCATGTTTTGACAGTCTTGAGAGTGTGCTCTGTTAAGTCATGAAAGCTAAAATCAGAATGATTAAAACACTACTAGAGGAGATACTGGAGGGAACAAAGCAGTCCTTTCAAGAAAAAGTGATCTCAGGCAACCTTAATTTTTCTTCTGTTTAGCAGTGGTTAGCAGGTTATCATAATATTTCAAAGAGTGAGCTGCTGTACTTTGCATTTGTAGTTTTATCAGGGTGTAATTGAGTGGAGGGTTAAGTCTAAAATGCCTATTATTTCCAACTTTTCCCCATAAGCCCCATTCCTGCACTAACACCTGCTGGCGTTATTCTGCAAGAACCACATAAAAATGATCAAAAGAAATGCAGGATGGTTAAATCCCAGTTCTGTAATACATTATCTTCTCCTAAATGTTTTTCATGTATTACAGTACATCTCTATTGTGGGATATGCCCAAACCAGAGAACACAGAGGTTTGAACAA